ATAGCGCGTGAGCTTCATGTCTTCTGCGACGCATCAGAAGGAGCGTTCGGAGCAGTCGCTTATCTCCGTACGACCTCACCAGACAGCACGCATCACTGCTCGTTCATCATGAGCAAGACACGGGTTGCACCGCTGAAGAGACTGTCGATCGTCAGACTGGAGCTGCAGGCAGCAGTGCTCGCAGTGCGCTTGGTGGACGCGCTCCAAAAGGAGATACCAGATCAAGTCAAGAAGGTCACCTACTGGAGCGACAGCCGGGTCGTCCTGCAATACATCAGCAACGAGAGCAGACGATTCCATACATTCGTCTCAAACAGAGTGGCAGAAATCCACGACCTGTCAGACAAAGGTCAGTGGCGTCACTGCCCAGGACGACTCAACCCAGCCGATCTGTGCTCCAGGGGTGAGACAGTGAAGGAGCTCGCCGACAACCCTCTCTGGCTATCCGGCCCAGACTTCCTCCGAGGCGACGAAGAAGGGTGGCCAGAGCAGCTTCACGTTCAGAAGCTGGCTGAAGAAGACGTAGAAGTGAAAGTTGGAGCCTTCGCCACAGTCACGGTGAGGGATCCAAAGGCAGCACTGCCGACACCGAGCAAATTCTCGTCTTGGACAAAATACAAGCGCACGGTGGCCTGGATCCTGCGCTTCCTCCGCAACTCGAAGCTGAAAGGCGAGCAGAAGCGACAGCGAAACCTAGGCCCACTGACCGTGTCAGAGCTCCATGACGCGGAGAAGACCATCCTCCAGATGGTGCAGGCGGAGGCCTACAGGACCGAGCTGCAGCAGTTACAGGCGGGTCAGCAGCTCAACAAGAAGAGCGGCATCGCCGACCTGTCACCAATCCTGGACGCTGATGGCATCTTACGAGTCGGGGGGCGACTAGGAAATGCCCCACTGGACGAAGACGCTCGCCATCCCATTCTACTCCCAGCAGGTTCTGATGTGGCGAGGATGGTCATCTACGAAACGCACCGTCAGCTCATGCACGCCGGCGCAGAACACACCCTGAACGAAGTTCGCCAGAAATTCTGGATTCCGAGGGGTCGTTCGCAGGTAAAACGAGTCCTTATCGACTGCGCCATCTGTCGCAAGAGAAGGGCGAGACCTCAGCCTCCAAGAATGGCCGATCTTCCCGCTGACCGGTTCAACACCTCCCACCCGTTCAGCTTCGTGGGGATCGACTATTTCGGACCGCTCACAGTCAGGCGGTTCCGAAAGACGGAAAAGAGGTACGGCCTGCTGGTGACGTGTCTGGCCACGCGAGCCATTCATCTGGAAGTGTCCAACAGCCTGGATACTGACAGCTTCCTGATGGCCTTCCGACGGTTCTTGGCACGCCGAGGTCGTCCAAAGAAGGTTTTCTCCGACAACGGAACAAACCTGAAAAGCGGGGAACGTGAACTCCGAGAGGCACTAACACAGTGGAACCAGCAGAGGATCTCTGACGAGCTGAGCCAGCAGCAGATCGAATGGTGTTTCAACCCACCAGCCGCGAGCCACATGGGCGGCATATGGGAAAGAATGATCGGCGCAGTCAAGAGAGCGCTATTAGTCGTGCTCGGCGGCGAGGTGACAACAGACGAGGTGCTGTCAACTGTCTTCTGCGAAATAGAGAGCATGATCAACAGTAGACCGCTGACACACGTCACAGACGATGTGAGAGACCTGACAGCTCTCACACCGAACCATTATCTCCTGGGGAGGGGAAGCCGTTGTCTTCCCCTGGAGTCTTCAGCAGCCAGGATCTGCACTCCAAAAAAAGATGGAGGTACGTTCAAGCACTGACGGACCATCTCTGGCGAAGATGGAAAAGGGAGTACCTCCATACCCTGATCCACAGGAGAAAATGGCAAGCTGACCAACGGAACCTAGCAGTCGGCGACGTGGTGCTGCTAGCAGAATATGACACGCCCCGAGGTCACTGGCCGCTGGCGCGCGTGCTGCAAGTGTTCCCGGAGCCTGACGGCCGAGTCCGCGCCGTACAGCTCAAGACGGCGGCGGGTGGTACGTATACCCGGCCTGCCACGAAGGTGGCGCTTCTGGAACTTGCCCCATCGCCTCCTCAGCCATCTCATTAGCCGACCGAACGCAAGCAAGAAATGATGCTGGCTTACTGTGGACTGTCGAGCCCACGCCCCCGAACCAGTTAAAGTAAGGAAGGCTGTTGTGCGTGTACGTGCTTACCGACGCACTCACTATTCATCCGTGTTTTGCTTTGTGAATATGAGTCTCGTAACTCGCGCATAACGGCCGTTCGTGTTTGGTAGTTTATTCGATTTAGGCGTGTAAATCGTACTTGTTTGTACATCTTTGTCGGTGATCGTGTCATTTTGTGTTCTCCCTGTGGTCAAACACGGGGGTGGAGTGATGTCACCGACGAAAGTGTTCGGGCCAACCCGCGCTACCGCTGTGCCGCCGTGATAGCCGGCCGGCCGCCGTGCCACCGCGGCGCCGCCGCCGCTCGCTGCAGCCGTTCCGCCGCCGCACCGCCGTCACCCCGTCCAGACTCAGGATGAGTTGTGAGGCATTGTGCAGGGCGGGGCCGCGAGCAGACGCGGCCGGCGGTCGGTACGCGTGCCACCGACGCTGCCGAGACGCAGCAGCGCCGCGGTCGCCACCGAGACCGAGATATAAATTAAAGACACGTCGTTTTAAGGCACGTAGGCCGCCAAGCTGGCGCCTTCAGCCACCTCCCCGCTGCAGTGCAAGTTCGCACTCGTTTTGCACACGTCTTAAGCATTGCGTATAAAATGTGGGTCACGTACGACCCCGGCAGAGTCTCACTTCGACCGTCGCGCTGTGCGCACGGACTGATCTGCCCCGCTCGACGCCTCGCCCGGCTGAGCGGGGACAGAGTACAGAAGCACGCGCGCAGACCGACTCTCCTGCGCGCAGCCGCGCCCGGCGGGGCAGTGTCAGTGCTTCAGATTGTACAGCGAATGTGAATGGTGCTCCGTGTCTGCGTGTTTCATCTACCGGTTTTCTTCACAACTGCTTCCGCTTCTTGCTTCGCGTATACTTCAATAAATCCTCTACGGGAAATCTTCACGTCTATCTACTACTGAAAATCGCCGAATATCAAAAACCCAGGAGCTCACATAGCAGGCGGGCGGGCTACGAATGTCGCACAAACTCACCGAATAAAATACAGTCCACATCCAACCAGAAAAGAACTCCGAACGACAGTTTGTCGGCGACATAAGCAATTAGTGCAACCCTAGCTGATAGCTACTAAGAGACACACTGCACTTTATTTCACCAAATCTGCACTAAACCTGCACCAGGTATGCACCAAATGTGTACCAGATGGCTGTCGTGAAAACGGCTATTGTACCTGTACAATGTACTGCAAGTTATGCATTTATAATTCATGCAGGGCTATCTTTAATGTTGATATATTTTGAATTGTCAATGTCCCGCATCTTTCCATTAATCAATGTCCCGAATACGTTGTCAAAAGGCAGCAAGTAACTATATGCCAGATAACATTTACATTTATTATCGTTCATGAATGATTGCATTGAGTTATGTACTGTATACCGCAATGGTTCTGGGAAGAGAAAATGCATCGTTGAACGTCAATTATTTCACTAACTAACATCTTTTTTTCAAGCATGAAACCCGTTACGTAATGAAACATGCGATAAGTTCGAGGCAGACTTATTGGCTGGGTGCACTTAGATGGACATTGGACAGCTGTCATTAACATGAGATTTGTGAGGGACTTTTGATGATGGACAGACGTTTTCTTTCAGAACATAGCTCTGATGGAAACTTACACGCAAAAATTACCGCACTTTTTTTTCTTTTGTGGTTTCTCTCTAGCTAGTAATGTATTCGGCCTTTCTCCACGGACATTTAAGTGCTACAACATAATCATATTCATGATAATATCATTTTGATTTGGTATTACGATCTGAGCCTTGCTTCTTTGACTCGACTATTACTTCATTTCAGACAGTTTCTTTCAAGCATGTTCTCCAGTGTTTAACTGTGGAAACCCTGTGGAGTGTGGACTTGCATGTTTCCTCATATGCTAAGCTCCATTCCGCACAATTTATGGATCTGCTGAAGCTTTCTTGTGTTGTCTGAACACTGAAGACGCTGAAATACGTGCCGTATTTTTCACCTACCTATCCATGTATACCCCACCAATCAATGTTATGTATGTACTTACGCCCTCTGGTAAGTAAATCCCGGTCTCTATCCTGGCTCTTGCGGTATCTGCCGGATGCGTTCCCGTCCAGCGCCGGCCGGCCGGACGTTAGCGATGTGTCCCCGCGGGGACGGCACGGCCCGGGTGTCAGGTGATGGATGGGTCGTGCCGACCGCTTCTGCACGCCACCACGGCGACCAGATGGACGTGTCACGGTTTGAGGCATCGGCACTGGCCGGAACACGATGATGAATCGCAGCCCAGTCGGAGCCAATCTGTGGCCAATACGGCAGGGGGCCAATATCTCTGTGGCCAATATCTGTATTTCTGCAGAGAATGTGTCGTAACGTTGCATGGTTGGTTAGATGGTAAATGTTTGTGTTGACAAATCCTGTCTACTGGGCCGTTTGGGATGGTAGGAAAGGGACCTTCTATTGTTGAGCTGTTCCCATGCGGGCTATACATTTACAATAGAGATGGAGGCGAAAATTCTTTACTGGGAGGGCTAAGCTAGACGAGAATACCTAGCGTCACGAAAATCAAAACTCAGGAGAATATATATCTTGCAACAAAAATCTAGCAACGATGAAAATTTTGAAAGATATATTTTGTCGTCGTTGCATGGTCAAAAATCATAGATATTGTTTTCTTTTTAATCAGTTTCGTATTCCTGGATCCACTCCGAATGCTGTGTAGCTTGTTGGAATGTCGGTTCAGGACAGTAAGCAGTAAGCACCTCACATACTGCTCGCTGACTCCCACCCACCAGGTCCCCGCTGACCTGACCAATCCGCTCACGGTCCCCACACCGCACTTATCTCTGACGGCGCCGCTCGGTCCGCAGATTCTGCTGGTCAACATCACGGCCATCAACGCGTTCACGCTGGTGTACCGGCGGCGGGCGCTGGACTTTGGCGTCGGCGACCGTCGCCTGCTGCTGTACGTGTACGGCGTGCCCTGCGTGCTGGCCGTCAGCCTGGCGGCCGCCGGTCAGCTCGGACCCAGCGGCGCCTTGTGAGTACCAATAACCGGCGCCATTCCGGCGCACTGGGCACGAATGGCCACCGGGGGCATTTGTTCCGTGACCCGCGCTGATCGAGTGGGTGTGGAAGGGCTGACGGAGAGGGAAGGAGGGGAGGGCACGGGCGCACTCTGCTGGTCGCCAGACGCCAGGAGACGGTCCGGTCGGGAACGACCTCCATTCACTCATACTCTCAGGGGTCTGCTGTTAGCCAGATGAGCTTCGCCGAAGACGGGCGATTTAATTAGAGAGTGTGGGCGGCCGCAGCCCTAGACAAGCTGTGCTCCACCCCCACGCGGTCCTGTTTTCTCCGAACGCGCTGAGATGTTCGGCGAACGGTTGCTGGGCCGGCGTCGGTGCCGTGAACTGTTAAGCTCACAGGGTGCATATCGGACGACTGCGTCAGTTTAAAGTAGTTTCAGTTGCCGGGCTGTTTTTGGAGTCCGAAAAGCTTTTAAAGGTATGAGGAAGGTTACTGAGCCTTCACGGTTTGCAGTAGGCGTCCTTGGTCAATTCTGGGCTAAAGCTTTACAAGTTAGACTGTTATGTGGATAAACGCCGTTAATTAAAACCACAATGCCCTCCAACTCATGATGAATGTATGCTAATTTTTGCATTTAAAACGTTATCATACCTAAAATTAGAGGGTTTCAGTTTCCAAATCGTTGCAGACGTCATGGTTATGGTCATATGACAATGCGGACCCGAACATCTCTTTTTTATTTTAACCCGCGCATGACTGGGGGGGGGGGCTCTACAGAGCCCACCCCCTCATGTTTTTCAGCAATATCTTCTAAACCGTTTAACAGATCAACACGAAACTTGCGGTACCCTCAGAGGCATGAATTTGACACCTTGTGTTAAAATTTCAACTTTCTAGCTACTATAGTTTAGCCGGAAATGACGTCAGAGTGACGTCATGTCGGCCGATTTTCATGCAAAATACTGAATTACGGCAAACGCTCTCAAGAGCTCAGTTTTAAAGCTAGATCCATTTTCTTTGCATGAGTGGACTACAAATACACGTAGCTATCGAACTGCTATCTCAAATTTTCGAAATTTTGAAAATTTTGAAAAACATATATTAACAATTACAAAAAATATATTTATGATTTTTTTCGGACAGTTTTTGACTTTTCCCAAAAACCGGAATATATGTGATAGAACACACACTGATGAACTACATTTGCAAGTTTTAGCCCAATATCTTCAAAAATAGCCAAGTTATTCGCAATATTGTCAAAATTTTACAACTTTATGTTTTTCGAATCCATTTTTCAGTACGTTTTTGACGTCGCACAGAAATATAAATGGCACCATCGTGTTTCTGAGCTCAAACTGCATCTGATAGGCACCTTTTTTGTTGAAAAATTTCATTTTCAAAATTTGACCTTTTCTGACCTGAAAATGACCTGACCTCCGGTAAATTCAGCTGTCAATGACCTCAAATGACACAGACGACACTATTTTCGAAATCTACGAGTAAAATGGGCCATAAAACATGCGTCACGTGACCGATATATAATATACAATTTTCGTGACCTAGGATGACCTGGCCTTGACCTTAAAAATTCGAAGTAAAAGTTCGGTACCCTCAGGGTATCTAAGGCATCCGTCAAGGAGTGCGTTAAGCAAAAATGAGCCTGATCGGACCGGCAGTCCGGCGGTCATAGCCTAAATTGTGAACTAACAAAAATGTCGATAACTTTTACTTTGACCTGACCTGTGACGTCATCGGTGACCTCGAGGTCAATAAAAATAGGTTTCGCTCGACAGTTTTTCCAGGGCTATCAGACGCCGTTTGAATTTTGACGATCGGCCCAGTAGTTTCGGAGATAGGAGGGGGGGCTCTGGAGAGCCCCCCCCCCCCCCCCCCAGTCACTCGCGTTATGGAAAATACCCCAGTCATGCGCAGGTTAATGCCACAACACAATCATCTAAAAATTCCACAACATTTTCAAGTGAGATATGTCAATTATTTTTACTCTAAATAATAATTATTTCTTATTTTGACACAATGTGGCTATGAGATACTTTCACGTTTTTAATCAAAATCTATAAACCTTTCTTCACTGACCTGAGAGAATATTGATTTTTATACATCGCCGCCTTTAACTCACTGTCACAAAATTCCGAATGTCATAAATATGCAGCTGAATTCTATTTTTAGCGTCAAGGTAGGTATCGCCTCAGGATTGTGAGCATGCCAGGCAAGCGTCATTATGAATGATTCATTCTCTGCCATAGCCATACAATGGAAACAATGCACTACAATGGACCTGAGTCCCATACATCAGATGTGTCCCACACCGTGAATGAAGTATAATGTCAGACGACTGGCCATACTGCATAGCTCGCTGACGATGCACTCTCTCCGTTCGATCCGAAACCAAACGGGAGCCTGGCGCCGCCACGATCCCCAGAAACAAACATTTATAATGAAGCCCCTGCTGACGCGAGCGGCGGGGGGAGGGCGGGAGGGAGTGAACTGGACCCAGTAACCTGTGCGGGAAACTTCGAGTAAGAGCGAGGTCTAAAACGATTGACTATTGGGATTTATAATGCAGCAAGGTAATTCGAAGGAAGTCGATACGGGGATGGTCAATCGTTGGACTGATTTTGAGCTGATTAATTTGGAGAAACTTGATGAAACAGCAATGAAACTGAAAGAGCTAGGGAACTGTCGCCAGCCCACTCAGCCCATGGTGGGCGCCTGTGCAATATGAGTACATATGTGCGTTGTCTTTCCACTACCTAATGCATTACATTGCGCTTTTTACCCTTACACTACAGACAACGTTATTTGTCTAGAAATAATGAATCATCGCGCCTCTCAGTATGCGACTGATCTTCATCGTCCGTGCCATCTAGCAAGTGGCGTGAGGCGTGCCTGCGGTGTATCAGAGTGATGTACGGGTAAGGCCATTGTGATACCGACTGCAGTGCCCATGTAGCCGTGTGTTGGTGTAGGCGCCGCCGGCCCCGTCGCTGGGCACTCGGCCAATTGGCGCCGCCAGTTGGGTGGCATGTTCGACCCCTCCTTCCCTGGACCTGGTGACGCCCACCTGGCAACGGCGGCACTTGGACAGCAGTGAGCCGTGTTACGCCGCCGCCCTCACGGCAGTGAGCCGTGTCGCACTGCTGCACGCACGGCTAACAGTTTTATCGGTGGGAACTGTGAACGGTCAGACGGCTGAAATGTTACGTATCTGAAAAAAAAACTTTGTGTATTTAATGCTATGAATCAAGACATATATGGCGAAAATACGTTTCACTCCTTTTATAAAATAAGCAAGTGTTCAAAGGGTAATTTTACTTATAAACACATCTCATGCAGGAAAAGCAAATGAGCAACGTTAATTAAAGATCAGCTTAGTCGATGTAGTTTAACAATTGTTTGTCACTAACCCATAGATGCTTGCTTCTTCCCACTAATATATCTTTACTTTTTATTCTGCTTAGTCGCTTGTGTGCACATGATTGATAAAAATATGGCTAACATGAGCGGTTTAGCTGTTATATTAGTGATGTCCAAATTGCGTTGTTTAAGCGCCTTCTGATTGAATCAAATCAATTTCCCGGTTCCAGAGTTATTTATTAAATCAATACCCGGCCGAAGGCTGGTTCCCGGCGGTCGCCTGACACGCTGCCATTACCGGTGGCGTCAATTGGTACCGCTCGGAGGTGCGTGCTCACCCACTCACCCGCCGGCCGCCGCGGGCCACGGCACGGCGGCGTGATCACTGAAGAACGTCCACTCGTGGAGCGCCTGTGTGCCCCAGCTGGTCACACCAAAGGACACTCACTCACGCAGGGCCTGCGTTCACACCATAAGACGCTCAGTGCCCACTCACATCAACGAATACACACACCAAAAAACACTCAGTCACACTAAAGGACAATCACTGACACTAAAGGACACTCACTCACACCGTATTAGGACACTCACTAACGCCATAGAGCACTCACTCATACAGCCTAGCGCTGTCTGCACCCAGCACCCAGCACTCAGCACCCCCACGATGTTCGGACTAGAGTTGCAAAGTTTCCCTACCGCACCACCGGCATGCCGGTAAATTTTCACTACCGCAGGTTTTTTCGTGGTATCTGGCATGTCTTGCCGGTAGCATGCCGGTATTTTTGATTTTGCACAAAAATAGAAAATATCAGCATATGGTTTAAACTTTGGGCACTAAGAGGCTATCAAATTATAATAACAGCAATATTAGCCACTGCAAAATACATTTTGTGGTAGAAGTTACATTGCTAAGGATAGGGATAACACATGGACCTCAGCGATTCACAGGTTTTGTTATAATTAGGATTGTCAAGAATCTACTGTGGTCAATAAATGGAAGAATACTTATTCATGCTGCAAAAGCTCGATCAATCAGTAAGTCTAATGGTATGTAATAGGTAAAATACAACAAAATAAATAAATGTTCATGACAACGTTCCCTAGAGGAAAAGGCAGAATCAAAACACCACAAAACACATTGTTTGGAAACTGGCCTTGAGTCCTGAGATGTGGTCTGAGATCAGAGCCTATTTTAAAGGAATTTGACTGGGGGGCAACCTGGAAAATTGTCTTTAATAATCCATTAACCCTCGCCCGTAGTGGTGTTTTTCCAGCTGCGAACGTATATGGGGGGGGGGGTCCGTTGCCCCTCCCCCTTGCCGTTTCGCCCCTGATCGAGCTAGAGCTTCGCGGAAAAAACTAGCATGTTGCCCGTCACGAGAGGAAGCAGATGATACCCAATTTTAAGGTCCTAGGTCATCGGTTCACCTTCCAGGTCAGGTCAATGACCCAAAAGTCGGAAAAATCGGGACCTGTTAGAGCGTCGTAAAGGGTGGCTGCTATGTTTGTTTTCGGGGTGCTGATCACGAATATCATGTTAGTTATGATCATAGATGATGTCTTCATGCATTTAGGCCAGGTCGGGTCATGTCAGGTCAGTTCAACCAGTAAGGGTTTTGTCGGGTATTCGTAGTA